GATTTCATTTTCAGAATTAACTGTGCTGTCCTTTGTCATCCTTGTTTTTGCAGGATTGCTCTCAATAAGAGCGAGGCTCCATTTTCGCCAGGAAGGGGCTTGGGAAATGGCTTTTTCCTGGCAAAAACAAGCCTCCGAGCTCTGATGCTGGCGGAGTGAGGCAGCAGAGGCCAGAGCAGACCCTTCCCCATCTCCCCTCGCTTTCCCAAAGCCTCCCTTCACTAACCTCCTTTTCAGCTCTGTTATCCACCACCGCGTGCAAGGCAACAAAAGAAGCTGTGGGTCTACTGGTTAAAAAAAAAAAAGTTCAACCAGACCTTCCAACTTTGCAAGTTCTTTTTTTTTCACGAGAAGTTGGAAGGTCAGATTGATGGGGGTTTTTTAGTCCCACAAAATTTCTTTTGTTGCCCTGCACGCGGAGCCAAAGCGCGCCTCGCTCTTATTGAGAGCAATCCTGCGAAAACAAGGATGACAAAGGACTTTAGCCCAACGGAGATCTGGCAGAGACTGCAAGCTCTTTGGCTAAGTTTTCACAGGAAAAAGCCATTTCTCAAGCCCCTTCCTGGCCAAAACAAGCCTCCGGAGCAAGCACACCTCGTTCTTCTTAAGAGCAATCCTGCGCTTGCTTCGGAGGCTTGTTTTGGCTAGGAAGGGGCTTGAGAAATGGCTTTTTCCTGCAAAAACTTAGCCAAAGAGCGAGGCGCGCGTGCCCACAGAGAGGGCTCTGAGTGCCCCCTCTGGCACGCATGCCATAAGTTCGCCACCACTGGTCTAGTCATTTACCTTTTGAATATTCCAAGGATATAAATGCTTTCTCTCAGTAATACTTAAAACAACCCTGTAGTGTTGTAGTACTTAAAACAACCCTGTAGCCCAGAATTGTCTAGTATAGGAAGGAGTCTGAGCTTGTAAGAGAGCACATTGCGTTTGAGTACATGGGTATAAACCTGGGGCTTTGCAGCTTATATTTCTCTGTATTCTATTGTTCTGAGTGAGCAGAGAGGAGAGGAGATTATGGAAACTTGCTTTTTTTTTTAAGAGGAAACTCGTTTGTTCTTTCCCATAGGATCAGTGAAGTAGAGCCTAAATACTATGCTGATGGGGAGGATGCATATGCTATGAAGCGTGATTTAACACAGATGGCAGAGGAGGTGAGCACAGATTCTATTGGTGGACATATGCTGGAGAACATGGCCTTGTTATCCTAAGTCTGAGACTGCTGTTGCTAGCTACAATGGCCCTACCACGCAATTCAGAATCACCAACTTGTGCAGATATGGATGGGTAGCCAGCCTGCCTTCTGGCAGGAACAAAAGCTTTATTAAAAAAATCAGAACAAATGCTGAACTAAATTTGCCTTGATGACAGCCCAAATACCTCTGAGTAAGCTATTCCTTGATAGTCAAATTCTCAATAATCTGAAAATGAGCTGAACAATTTAGAAAGGGATATTTGCATGAAAGCTGTAGCATCTAGCTGTTTTTCTTTCACCTTGAGCTACATTTGATATATTTTGGAAATGCCTTACTGGTTTGTAAAAATGGTTAAGGGCTCCCTTGAGTTGATTTTTATTCCTGTTGACTAAAGGGAAGCATTCATGCAAGTTGTTTGCTAATAATAGTACAGGTAGACATATGACCACAGTTGAGCCCAAAATTTCTGTTGTTAAACAAGACAGTTGCTAAATGAGTTTTGCCCCATTTTATGACTTTTCTTGCCACAGTTAAATGAATTGTTAAGTTAGTAACACAGTTAAGTGAATCTGGCTTCCCCTTTGTCTTTGCTTGTCAGAAGATTGCAAAAGATAAATCACATCAGACCAGGAAACTGCAACTGTCATAAATATGAGTCAGTTGTCAAGCATCTGAATTTTGATCATGTGACCATGGGAATGCTGCTGTCATAAATATGAAAACGGTTATAAGTCACTTTTTCAGTGCTGTTGTAACTTCTAATGGTCACTAAGTGAATAGTTGTAAGTCGAGGACTACCAGTAGTGGATTTTATTCGGGATTTTTTTTTTTCAACTTTGCTGTATACACTGAGAAAGCTTTGGGATTTCTCAGACATGTGCTAACCATGACCAATCTTGCTTTGCTTTTTGTAATACCATGCAAAGTTAGTCTTGACTTAGAATCTAAAATGACAAAGAGACATGTGGCACCTTAAAAGCTAGCAAAACTATTGTGGCATAAACATTTGTGATCTATAGTATCCTATTAAAGAAGCAGAATCGTGCACAGAGTTTCATCTCAGTTTTTTATTCTGTCTTGTTAAAATGGGGAAAGAAAACCATGTCCTGTTTTGTTTTGCCCCTCTTGCTATTAGGGGAACTAAGGCCAAACGATTGACCTTAGACCAGCACACCTGCGCATTCGTCATCAAGTTTTTTTAGAACCTTACCATGCCTTTCTGTGAAAATGCTGGCTGGCTGCAGAATTGTAAACAGGAACAAATAACATTGAAAGCAGTCCCCATGGCTGCTTCTCAGATTTTGGCATTCTGTTTATCCTGAAGTATACCATAACAAGATTACCCCTGGAGGCAACATGAGGTTAATAATATGGATGTATTTTTTGTTGCTGATTCCATGTGTCTAAGAACTGTATAATCATACCTCTCTAATGCCATCCTTGGATAGAACACTGTACTCAAACAAGCATCTCTTCTTGACAGCTGCGGAGGCAGGTGGAATTGAAAGAGAAGGGAAAGCATTCTGTGCTGGGCTCCATTGAGAACAAGGGCAGTGATCACAAGACTAACCATGTGGGTGACTGTTGCCGGGATGACAGATGCCCAGGGACCCTTGTGGGCACTGGACCTGGAGCTGAAGACAGTGGGGACAGCAAGGACGTCAGTGAGGTCAGTGAGGCTACAGAGAGCACAGATATCAAGGACAGCTCAGAGGCCTCTGACTCTGCCTCCTAGCAAGGTCTTTGGCTGTGCTCTTCACTTTCCAGCGATTGGACTCGTGTCCTGTCCTTGGCCAGGGGTTGGACCGCTACAGATGGATTGGAAATAAAACTTTTGGAACCAGGTGTCTTGTGTTGTGGCTTGTGAAGTAGAAGTCGCCTTGAAAGCTGTGGATGTGTATATGTGTCTGCCTTGGGTCATTCCCTATCCCCTTTCTTCTTCTCTAGTTAATCAATCCCTCTAGTCAAGGGTTGCCACCTTTTATAGTAGTTATTGCCATTTATTGCCAGAGTCTCCTCACGGTGGGAAGGTGGCAAACAAATTTAATAAATTTAAAAACTCTTGCAGAGGTGAGTGAAAAATGACTTGTGCAAATTCTTCTGCTATCTTAGTGTATGCACCTTTCACCAGTGGAAAAGCTTTCAGCTGCATGGTGGGCAGTGGGTAAAAAACATTTGCAGGAAATGGGGTGAAAAAGGTGCTGTATCTGCTTAATCCCCTATTGCAACTAGAAACCTAAAGGATAGTGGCCAGTGCTTACAGTAAAGTGGGTGGGGTGAGTGGGAGGTCAGCTTTGTATATGTCCCACAGATGGAATTCACAAGTAGGGTAAATCTTCAAAACTTGTTCACTTTATAAGCAATAAATGAAAGAGAACATTTGTAAACTTAAATGTGTTTCTTAACACAAAAGAGGGCTTTTCTTTAAATCGGGCCAGAAAATTGGACACACAAAATAGAGAAGTACTCACCTGGAATATTCTGTTTGCATTAATTTTGGGAGTTGAAGCTAAGATGACGTCCAATTCATCAGTCACCAAAACATGCATTCAGTTTAGAAGAACTTGGAACAGAAAATGCAAATGTGCTGGGTTTTTTTTCTAAACAAAATAGCTACAGCAAACTTTAGTGCAATTAAATTGGAGCTAGAGTTGGGCCAGTCATATAGTATTCAGCACATGATGAGGGTACACCTTGTGTTCAGTGGTATCCAAATACCTGAATAACTGGTTCTCTGTGTGGATGCAGGCCTGGGCTTCCGAGGCCTAGAATGGACTTCCGGAAGTGACATCCACACACTTCCTGTGGGCGGTTCTAGCCCTGGGAGGCATCCTCCAGGCCTCTGAGGCCTAGAACGGACTTCCGGAAGCAGCGTGGGTTCAGCCGGTTCTTCGAACTCAACAAAATTTAGCTACCAGTTCTACCGAACCAGTGCAAACCAGCTGAATCCCACCACTGCTTGTGTTGCATTCTCACTACATACCAGTGACCCCACTGTTACCGATCCAAATACGTGTAATGACCCTGCTATTGTCGTTCCTTAATTGCTCACATCCTTTGTTACAACAGCTTTGGTGTATATAAAAGAGGGAAGAAAACAAAAATATTACAGCATTAAACTACTCAAGCATCAGTCCTGTTAGACACAAAACCAGCTGGGTGACCTTGAGCCAGTCACTCTCATTACCCTAGGAAGTAGGCAATGGCAAACACTTCTGAAATCTCACAAGTGAACTGCAGGGCACAGTTCCCCAATCTTTTCAGCTTTGTGGACGGGTGGGAGGGGATGGTTCTGTGCGAGTGGCGGGCAAGTGAGCATGCATGCAGCTCCATGCCCGCCGCTTGAGCAAATAGAATGCACATGCTTGTCTGTTCACGCAAGTGGGCATGCGCATGTGCTCACCTGCCACTTCTGTGGCCCAGTTCTGAATGGCTCAAGGCCCTGAGGTGGGCCACGACCCAGGGGTTGGGGACCCCTGCTCTAGGGGACATGTCCAGGCAGTCACCAGGAGTCAGGACTGATAAAGGCACCACCACCAAAAGAAAAAGGACCCCTGTCAGCGGAGGGAGGGGGCTACAGACAGGTTTTCTACACAACTTCACAATCTGGAGAGGAATACATGCTTGAGAAGGACCTTGGAGATTGGCTTCATCTTTGGAAGAGAGAGATGAAAATTTGAAAAAAGGAACAATGGTAAGCATTTATAGTAATTTAGAAAAGCAGCGATGTCATGAGTAAAGTGGATGAGAAAGAAATAGCTGGAATTGAACCCATCCATTCAAAATTCCCTTCAATCACTGCAATAGATGGAGGTAAGGCAGCACATAAAACATTTGTATCTTCTCACAACTCCAAATACTGTAGGTCATGGGAGCCCAGAGGCTGCAGGACAAGTGTGAAACAGATTCTGCCTATTGGATGTCCTGAATTCTATGAAATAAAAAAAGGAATGCTAGGTATGCTGCCTGAAGCTACTTGTCTAAAGAAACAAAGATGGCCGTGAAGAAAAGTCTTGATTGATAGCTGGTATAATCTTTTCTGGAGATCTGAACAAATTCTTTTTTATAATGTGTTGAAAATCCTTTATACAGGGAAGTTTTCATAGCTACCTACAGAATTCAGTGGTACTATTCAAATGTATTCCAACTAATTCCACTGAAATCTTATCTGATTATTCCTTAAAAATGCTAATTTGCAAGTATTCTTATTTTCAATGGTACATTTCCACATGAAATGTAAGGGTACATTTACTATTCAACTATTTGATAAATAATTCCAGGTTATTTTACCAAGACTAGAGGGATGTTTACAGATTAAACTAGTGTGGTTTCATCTGAATGGCTTGGACACACCTGGAAATCTAGTAATAATAGCTGCCTAAATTGCAGTTCAAGAGACCTATTTATTTTATATTCCTAACAGTGAAAACTCTGGAGCACAGAATAATCCTGGGTCTTTTATGGAGCATCTTGCTGAGCATGGGGATTCTTCAGAAGAAGGTCGAAATAGGCCTGGAATTGATAAAGAAAAGAAATATCCCTACTGATGTTAAGCAACAACATAACCCATAAACAATCCAACGTTGCTTAGTTATGTCTCTGCCTCAGATATTCAGGGTTGCGCTTCGGTTTTGCACCTTCAAGGCAAAATGGTGGATCACAGATAACCGAAAGAGAGAAATATTAAAACGGCGAGATTCTCCTTCCAGTGTGGCCACATCAAAGGTTGGCGTGACGCGCCCTCTTTTGACCAACAATGAAAAACGGACGGAAAGGCTACCGAACGTTCGGTAGCTCAACCTTCCTAGGATTCTTCCTTCTCAATATCTGATTGGCTGTAGGGAGAATTCGCTCTTAAGGTCTATCGGCAGCGGATTCGCTCGGGATCTTTTTCCCCCCTCTCTGACGCCGCAAGGTGGATCTTAAAAACAAGGCTGCGATTTCAAGGCTTACGGCCCAGGGCGCTGCAGCCGGGGGAGATGAGTGAACTTCGGGCTCTAACTAAGACTGAAGCGCTTAGCCTCGGGCCACCCGACTGGAAGCAGGCTTGTCATGCCCTTTTATATGCGCCCAACCCGGGCCGGCTTTTTGGCAAGATCCCGTTGCGTTTCGCAGTGTTGGTGAGAATTGATTTTAGCCAAAGTTGCGGGGGGGGGGGAACCTCCTGAATAGGGAAAGAAGGGGAGAACATATTACGTTTAAAACTTTAGGAATCGATGCTTACCTCTAATGAACTATTTGTTCCAGGCATAGATCCTTAAAAAAAAAAGTACTTGGTAAATTAGTGATAAAATCTGTTCCAGGTACGTGAATGCTTTGATGACGGATGCTTGATCTGAATACGTTGTGAGAAAATATAGAAAATATGGGATGGGATGGACATTTTTTAGTAGGATCTGTCACACACCTGGCATTGACAGTTGTGTTGCTAACAGATCTGGTTTGCAGGAATCCTAATGATTACAAGATGGCAGCAACCAGTTGAGATTTTCTACATTGCTTTGTTTCTATCTAGTGTTTGTTCTGATTTTTGTAGCTATAATACTGAGAAGAAGCTGGGTGGGATGACATCTTTACAAACTCTGAGCCTATGTCTTACCATGTCCAGCCCTACCTAGTCTATTCAGTTATATTAATTAGCATTTATATTATCTTTCCCAAAGTTTAGAACAGTGTTTCACAGACATTGCTTGGCTTTAATCATCTCCTCAGGAGTAAGGTAAAGTGAGGATACTTCCATGTTGCTAAGAGGAGGCAGATTAGAACCCCAGAGCCAGATGGACCTCTCAGAGTTTTCTAAATTGTGTGTTATACTTTAATGTGATTGAAAGTGAACATTGTCAAATATAGGGAATGTATGTTTTCATTCTGTAATTTATTTGTTATTTTTCAGTAAAATTAAGTTCAGTTTGGTTTTATCTTAATTTTGCCCAGTTCTTGGAGTACAGTCGCCAGTGTCCTTTTCAGTGGTCAAACATCTACTTGGTCAGAAAAAGGTTGCACACTCCTGACCAAGGAAGTTCCTGGCAAAAGTGGTGTTGTAGTGTAAGACTTCTGGCAGAGCCTATTCCATACCTTAATTTTTAGTTCAAGAAGAGTAGGGCAGTTTAGCAGTTTGGGGTTATGGAAAGAGGAGAACTATATTAGTCCATGGTAGTCAAAACTCAGAAGTCTGGTAGCACCTTTTCAAACTGAGACATTTTATTTAAAAAAACAGGAATAACACTTCAGAAGTGTGGACCTCTGGACCTATTGGGCATGTTTATTGTAGAATATTATCTTTTGTAAAGAGCTCACAATATTTGTACGTACTGTTATGGGAAGATACTTCTTTTATCCCTTTTTACAGTCGGTACAATAGTTCCAAAATCCTTAGAAATGTTTTGGAGATAAATATGCTAATTCAGCTTCAGAAATTGTGTGTGTGTGTGTGTGTGTATGCATAAATATATCTAATGCCAGCGACTATTTTTGATACAGGCATTTGGCTAGATCTGGTCACATCTGAATCTTGTATTCTGAAAATGTGGCTCTGGTGTTATGATCTGAAGTTGGGGATGCAACCTTCATGTTTTTACCCAGGAAAAGATGCAGAAGGTGTCTCTGGATAGAGAAGGAGTGAACAAATATGTCTGATAGTGCTTATTTGGAGGCCTCCCCTCCCCCAAGTAAGGAGGCTCTGTATTGATTGTGTGTTGAAACTGTCAATCAAAACAAGGCAAGGCTGGCTGCTTCCTCCATCTCCATATATTTTGGAGGGGGAATCTGAAGGAGGGAGTTTTGAAAGGTGGGGACAGAAGAATGGTCCTGCAAATTTCAGTCTTGAAAAAGAGTACTCATTTGTCTGAGTACTAAGTAGGAGGATAAAGAGAAGATGATTTATAAGCCACCTGTCTCGCAACAATTGTATTTGGGAGCCTATAGATATGTTGTAATAGTGTAAACCTGTTTATAACTTTAAATAGCCAGTTATTTAATACAACTCAATTCAATTCCTTATTTAAATTTTAACAAATCAATTGCCCTGCTCTGTCTTCTCCACATTCTGCCTCACTTCTTCAGAAATGCAACAAAAGAAATAGATGAGGAAAAACAAAAGTATTCCTAAACCAGGAAAGTATTTAATGATGGCAACGACAAATGGATCATATCATTTAGAGCGGGCATTCTTAACCCTGCATCCCTTTGAGAATTTGGTGAAATCTAAGAACCCCATCTCAGAAAAATGTATTTAAAGCAGTTAAAATTTATTCAGAGAATCAAGGAAAATAAAATTGGATTTCTTTTTTATTCAAGTTCAAAAAGTCCCAGAAATCACAAAGTTTTATAGTTCCCCCAGATGTAGGGAGATTTCATCTTATAAGATTACAAGAAAGTGAAAAGGATAGACTAGAGCTAAACCAAAGGGATTCCCATACCTGTAGATTAAGGGTAATTGCATAGAATATATGAACTCCCAGTCTGAATCTCTTCTCTTCTCTTCCAGATGCAGATGAGGTTTGATGGTCAGCTGGGATTTCCAGGAGGGTTTGTGGATCCTCAGGATATTTCCTTGGAAGAGGGACTAAATCGAGAACTGTGTGAAGAGTTGGGTCCTGGGGCTGCCTCCCTCCACCTGGCTGAGAAGGATTACTTGAGTTCCCAGGCTTCTGATCAGCCACAGAGAGTGGTGATGCATTTCTATGCCAAGCAGCTTAGCTTGGAAGAGCTCCGAGTGGTAGAGGAAGGGGCTATTCAGGCAAAAGACCATGGATTTGAGGTGCGTAAGGGACAAGGCAGGGGCAGCGGAAAATTTAAGAGAGATGTTGGGAGCCAGTGTAAAAACAATTGCTCCCAGACATTGGTGTGTTTTCTCTGGGCAAAGTTGGTAAATTGTCATATTTTTCTTGGCTTTAATAACTTTTTAGGGTTTTTTGCACAGTATTTTGGTGATTCTAATCAGGTCTATGCAGGAAGCTGAAGAGTATTCTGTAAGCCTACTCAGAACCTTTGCTAAGATTTTATCAAGTCCTTGTTCAAATGCCTGTGAACCTATTTTGGTAGGTGTTAACAGCTAAAACATTTAGAATAAAAAATGAAGTGGAAATTGAGCATCAGTATTAGACATCCAGCATTTGTAGCTTTGTGGTAAACCCACACATTGTGAAGTTGTGTGTGCCTTGAGTGAGGTGGTGACAGCAGAAAGAGGACAGGTTTCCCTAAGAGTTTATTTTAACCTGATTTTCTATCCTCTAATGGTTTAGGTGATGGGTCTCATCCGTGTTCCCCTCTATATTCTGCGTGATGGTGTTGGGGGCCTCCCGATGTTCCTCAGCAATACTTTTATTGGCAATGCCCGGGAGCAGCTCATTCATGCCTTGGGTACTCTCCAACTCATGCCAGCGGAACAACTTCAAAAGGCTATCAGGATCGCTCAAAAGAGACATTGAGCCTCGTTGACTCTGGCTTGCTGCCTTTTCATTCTGATGGATTTTGGGATGCAATCCCGAAAGAATTTTAGACTTTAGGAACAGGCAGCTTACAAGGAGAAGAAACTTAGATACGGTCCTTGCTCCAGTCTTCTACCCAGCCATCGTTGCTGATGCTGCTGAATAGCTTGGTGCAAAGGTTGGGAGCCTGAATGTGGAATCCAATGATCAGGTTGTTGTATATTTAACATAGGTTGATTGCGTCTCTCTTGCCTAGATGTAGGTAACAAGAATTGAAAGACTTTGGCTACTCTTATCTTCACGGAATGTATTTGTGATCCGCCTTCCTACATCCTGCTTGTAGGTGTAAGATTTCTTCCAAACAACACCCTTGCAAAAATGGCTCTGACCTACCTCATCTTCTGTTTTCCAACATTTACTTTAAATGTATATTGTTATTGAGAGCATTCTGAACTTCATGGAAGTTGCATTTACCTTCTCTGCAAAAGCCAACTGCATATATCTGTTGATTGATCGTGACTTCATTACTTCATTGTCAGATTTCCTTTATTTTTTGATCAGTGCTTAAAGAATGGTTATAACACTTTTGTATGACTCTTGACTCATACATGTTTTTATTAGCTCATAAGGAAATGGCAAGTCACTACAGGAAAACGGGTTTTCTGTCTCATTCCCCTTTTCCAATTCTAGGGATATACTATAAGTGTGGAAATTAGGAAAAGTACATGTGTGCTGTCATCCAAATTGTTGTACTGTCTATATTGTTACACAGGTAGCCCTTGAATTACGACCCAAAATTTCCATTGCTAAGCAAAACAGTTAAGTAAATTTTGCCCCATTTTGCAATCTTTCTTGCCACAGTTAAGTGAATCATTTCAGGTGTAAAGTTAGTAACACGGTTGTTAAGAGAATCTGGCTTTGCTTGTCAAAAGGTTGCAAAAGGTGATCAAATGACCTTGGGACACTGCAACTGTCATAAATACATGCCAGTTGTGAAGTGTCTGAATTTTGATCACGGGGATGCTGCAATGATCATAAGTGAAAAGCTTTCATAAGTCACTTTTTTCAGTGCCATTGTTACTTTGGTCACTAAATGAATGGCTGTAAACTGAGAACTGTCTGTATCCAGATTAGGAATGCAATTTATTGCTTGGAAACAGTGATACTGTGCAGATTTCAAGACATATGCATGAATGAGTGGGGGAGGGCCATTTGGTTATTCTGCTGAGTTCAGCATTGAAGTGGGAGTGATGTTTATACCCTGCAAGTACCATCTAATGGTTGGAACATGGACACCTGTTGCTTGGCTTTCAAAGTAGTCTTTAGACTAGAGGTCCCACTTCACACAGAATAGTATGAGATGCTTTGGGGTAAAACTGGGCTAGAGAGCTGAGGTGCTGTGGTGGTTAAAGCATTGGACTAGGAGCAAAGATAACCAGTTTCAGCCACTGGTGGTTTAGGGCCAGTTGCTCTCTCCCAGCTTGACCTATTTCACAAGATGGTTGGGAAAGCTGAGAGTAGAGAGTGCTGTTAATGTCACCAAAATACAGAATGAAAGATGGGACACAAGTCAAATAAATACAATTCAGAATGGCTAAATCTTAAAAGAACAAAAGGCAGTGGGTAAAGCAGAATATGGAGATGGTTGAAGCAATGATAATTTGCAAAGATATGGTGAGGAATAGTGAATGGTTTCAGCAGACATCAGATATAACTGTATCTCCTCTTAACTCATGCTTTTAATTTCTTTTGCTTACCATTTCTTAGTTCTTTTCTATGCTTTGCATATTATTACTGAACCCCAACAGGGAATAGTGTGATGCACAGTTATGCATGTATTTGGAGAAATCTTCAGACCAGGATAGGAGTATATGAGAGAAGATATTCTGTTGTTCAGAGGCCAGCACTTTTATCTGAGTGGAAAGAGTAAATGAAACAGAATTATTGATACTGAATGTTAGTACAGTATTGCATAGACGCTGTGACTTCTTTACAATTTATACAAGGTTTTTCTTTTAAAAAACCATAGGCTGGACAGCTTCAAAAAGTCTCATTCTCTTTGCAGTCATGTACATGTAATGAGTGTCTGTATAAATTAAATGAATGAATAAATCTTCAACTACCCCATTTGCAGACACAATCTTGATTATGAATCTGGGTTTCTCTTTTGCAACATGCAAGCTGCACCTCCAGTAGTCATGAAGTGGCTCTTTTCTACAATGGCTTCTGTCCTGTGCAAGCATGTCATATTAGATCATGCCATTAACCCATCTAATCCAGCCTTCTGTGCTACATGGTGGCCAGCTGGAGGCACTTGAGAGGCTCACAATCTTGAACTGGAGAGTGAAAGTCCCTTCCATTGTTGATTCCAACAACTAGTGTTGATGGATGATGGCTGTGGTTTAGGATTTGGTAAACAACCTTCAATATTAATAGTTATTGATTCTCCATGAACCTGTCCCCCTTTAGAACCATCCAAACTGACTGTCATTACCATAACTGCCGCCAGTGCATTCACTAGTTTCCTTGTGTAATAAAACCTTCAGCCAGTCTTCAACCTGTCTGCTTCTAGTTTCAGTGGATGACCTGACATTGTCAGACAAGGGGAAAAAACCTACTTCTTCCCCATATTATGCGTATCATGCATGATTTGTTGTCCTGTCTGTTTAACCTCCTTCATTCCAAGCTAAAATCTTAAGTTTTTCTTGAAGAAAAACTAGCTTTCTAATCATAACCTCTGTAATGTCATTTTTAAAGTGGGATAATCCAAAGTATCCATGTTATTCCCAAATATGGTTTCACCATAGAGCCATGTGACAGAGTTGTTATATCAGTAGTTCTAATTAATGCTGATTATTGCAGGCACAGAATTAGCCATTTTAGCAACTACAGATTAGAATAGCATTGAGCAACCTACCATGATGCCAAAGTCCCATCTCTAGCTTAGATCTCATCAGGGAATAAGTGAAGTTTGGAATGTTGGTATCTAAGTGCCTCATTTTAAAATTATTTCATCATTCCTTTTTACAAAGGAATCCTTTTTAAAAATATATTTTTCTTACATTGTGCTTCCGAGTGACTTCTCCCTGGTTGGTAGTTGTAATGGATAACTTATTTCATCATTTTGTTTTATAATATTTGTTAATATATGAGACTGAAATAAATATATAAGTATTTTATAATAAACACATCATTCCTAGACAGTTTCTGGACTAGCAAAACACTATGTAATAATCAAAGCTAAGCCTTGGGGAATCATCCTTTGAATGTTAATTTACATCTGTCTTCCATTTGAAATAGCCACTAGGCAAAATTTTACCAGATGCCTAAGTGGATAATTTATGTTGAATATAGAGTTGCTGCCTGCACGCTTTGATTCTGGATCCACAACGTCTGCAGCAACAAAACTCTGTTATTGCCGAAAATGAATAACTCCTCAACAGTCCTGACTGGAGTATTACTGAAAGGGGTCAGTTACTAAAACTCATTTTTTAATGAAATGAGTTCTTTTTGACCTGGTTACACTAGTTTTTATTTTGCTTTCCAGCTGGGGGTGGGGGGGTGGGCAGGTGGAACTAGCAGCTAATGATGGTTTTAAGTGCATTTCCCTGGTGTTTTGTTCAGTGACTGCATTTCACTTTCAAAATGTTTAATGCAACTTGTGTTGCAAGAACCAGTATGTGCAAATGGTGCCAGATTTCAGTAGGTAGTTTTTTTTTTAAACAAATTGTGTATTCTAGAAACATTTTTCTAGAAATAAAAGATTAGTATTTGAAGAGTTCCATTTGGTATTTATCAAATTTACATAATCACCCATAATTACTAAAAAAATAAATATATAAAACAAAACTAAAAAAGGAATATTAGGCAAAGGGATATTAATACTAATGTAGCTACTTAATAATATTTACAATCTAAATTTCCTCTGGATGCTTACAGCAGTGACTAAAATCCCCCCCCCACACACACTTTTAACCCACTGCAATCTTGTGAGATAGGTTAACTGTGAAATGACAGCTTTTTGATTAAGTGGGGATTTGATCCTGTATCTCCCCTATCCATATTAATGCACATCTCAAAATATGCATGCATTAATCACAATTGCAATAAGAACAGTGATGTGAAAAGGAAGAAAAGTTGTTTCCAACCTACTTTCTCTGTAGTTCTCCCACATTTCCAGTCCATAGGGGGGGAAAAAACTTGATTGGCCCTGGACAAAATAAGCCTGGTTATTTAGTGATAAACATTTAAGTATTTGGCACTTCTGGATGAAATATGATAGCAAGAAGTCTGTAAATGAGTCAGGAAAGTGGCCTCCTGATGAAGCGAGTTACTGTACAACTCACTGCATTCCACGTGCCACCTAGACTGCTGGGTATTCAGCAATGTTGAGCAGTGTTTCATTCCCATGCAGGCTGGAGAATTCTGGGAATTGAAGTCCCCACATCTTAAAGTTGCCAAAGTTGAGAAACACTGATCTGGATGGCCATGATTCCTCTGGTATACTGCAGTAGCTCTGCCTTCATTCTTTGTGATCAGTGTTCAAAGAAAGCTTCCATCCACTCTATCTGGAGCTTCAAGTGCCACTTTATGTTTTGAAGAAAGTCCTTATTTGTGTCATGATTATATGAACAGTTCCCCAGATATGGTGGAATCATTGGTTGAAGGAGAGGGGGCCCTCTAGGGGGAGTAAAGCGGTATCCCAGTTTGGAGTTGGTTTGGAGGAGGAAACATCTGAAGTAAAATCTGATGTTTTTCCAAGGGAAGGCAGACAGTCTGGTAAGATTTTTGTAATACAGGTGATCAGCAATACAATATCTACTTGGGCCTATTCAGGAGTGGTTCTGTTTGCTTGAGGCTGACACCAATTATTCTTAAGCAACTTTCCTTAATGGGCTTTGTGCCTGATGCCAAGGAAGAGAGACAAGAAATATTTTCTAGCCTAAAAAGTGAAACTCATTGCAAAGCATGACTTCTCTTCAACTTCCTCATTTTTCTCAAGCGTTGGCTGTGGTCTGCTTGCAATGTCTCTTAGTTCCTGAACTCAAGGCCTGATGTCGCAGTTCATCTGCAACACATCTTTCTCCTCTCCTTCCTGCTCCTCTGGTCCACTGAGGAGTGTGAAAAATAGGGCGCTCTGAATGGGCCTTCTGTCCATCTTTATATATCAAGAACTCCCCCCTGCCCCCCATGTTATTTAAGCATGTGGTTTTGCACGTAGAAGCCACATAATCCCAGCTTTGAAAGTGCTTGTTCAGCTTCCTCCAAGTGGGCGGGGTGTTTGCAGTGGACCAACACAGGGTGTAGAATTTAAAGCAAATCAGCTTTCCGTGCTGGGAAATCCCATTTTTGCACCAGAGGCACCAGCTTCAAGCTTATTCTTGCTAGCTATAGATGATCCTAACAGAAGAGATCAAGGGGTCATATTAGACAAGACAGGAAATGTGGAACATTTTACTGGCACAGCTCATTTTAATTTTCCTTTACATTCTTGATTTGAATCTGATTCAGACAAAGCTGTGTATTTCTTGTTCTTTTAATTAAAAAAAAAAATACTTGTTGATTGAAAAAAGGACCCTGCTTTTAAATGGGCA